GTGACCATTTTCTGAATACATCGTCAAATAAACATGAAGGGAAAAAATATGTATTTAAAAATTAAAGAGAAATGCAGAGTAAAGTAAATACCATTGTATTATTTAAAAAAAATTAATCCATAATCAATACCAATTCAAGGATATGTCAACAGATGATTCACATTATCTTAAGAGCGTCTCATTTTAACGGGCAGGAAATTATGTTTCGATTTCGTTGTTTAAAGCCGGTTACTCACTGCGTGCGACGGCGACGCGACGGCATCGCGCACGCAAAAACGCGGACCCAACGGATCGTCTTTTTAATGAGGATCCGTTCAGATTGTCACTGACAATCAGCAGACGGCGTTGCGTCGTCTATCGCTCGCCGGAAGCAAATGTGGATTCGTCGTGCGACGGTTGTACGACGCAGTGTCCGGTTTTAAATGTTATCGAAAGATGAAAGGTGTCGCCTGCGTTTTATTTCATTAGAATGCTGATGACATTAAGTAACACTATGATATTGCCAAGTGTTAGCCCTCTCTATTTTTTTTTTCATGCAGATAACATTTATTAGCATGAAATACAGTATTGGCTCCTTTCTCATTAATTCTTAAACGGTGCAGCCTAACCTGTAAAATAATCGGGCTTAGTATCATCGATATAATTTTAATTGTTATATATATATATCTCGGTATCTTTATTCATAAATTCAAAACAACTACAATATCAAATCCTTAGCAGCCAGAGGCTGAATTGGGGATTCAATTTACAAAATAGAAAACCTGAATTAAATTTACAATAAGTCATTATCATTATTAAGATCAATTCAAATAGTAAATATTATTATTATTTTAATTAATCATTATTTAAAAATGTTGTTATTAATTAATATGCACAAATATTAAAATTTCCGATTTAAAAAAAGCAAAAATTCAAAAACAAACTAATGAAACTTAAATTAATATTAAACCAAAACACCACCCGGAACGGGATCCGCCCCGGAGCACAAGACATCACCCGCTTCATTATTTCTCCATAATATATGTGCCTTTACTTGCAAAGTAAATTCTTTGAGTATTCATTGAATTGTTATCCAATATCCCTTGGTTTACATTCAGATTCTTTCATTTTACATTTACCCTACACAAACTGCAACTTAAATGCAATTTAATTCTTAGATTTTTTTTAAAGAGATGCAATTTAGCAGTGAAATATCGATTGGTTTGGATTTCTAATCCATTTGTTCATTACAAGGCCTAGTACCTGTTTTTGTTGCTTAGGGAAATAAAGCAGATGAAACTCTTTTGTAGGCCTACTTATCATTTTGTCCTTAATTTATCCATTGAGTACGTAATTATTTGTGATTGACTGACCTTACTTTATAATTCAATCAATACTTTCAACTTTGTTATTATTATTATTATTATTATTATTATTATTATTATTATTATTATTATTATTAATATTATTATTATTATTATTAGACCTATTATTATTGCTGTTGTTGTTGTTCTTGTTGCTGCTTTTGTTGTTATTTCGGAGACACATTCATATGTTATGTTGTAATGAATACATCCAAAGATAGCATTCTGGGACTTTCCGTGATAGTACAGTACAGTAGTTGATTTACTGCAATACAGTATACAGCTAACACGTTTCACTATAGGGCACCAAACATGTTTTGACGCATAAGCCAGTTCCCATTCGACAACGAAAACGCAGCAGCCGTATGCCGAATGACGCAACCTGACCTACGCAAACCTCGATGCAAATAAACTTTTTTTGTAAGAGAGGAATGAATAATCATACAAATAGGGCCTAGATATTATCTTGATTTGCGTTTGCATCCCGTCGTCTTTCTTGATTAATGTATAAAATCAATAATAAGTGAGCATCCCGTTGAATTTGTCATCTGCTTTCCTGTTTCCCAGGTGCTCCTGTAATTTTCGCCTCTTTAGATTTAGCGAATAATCTCAAACTTAGTATAATTAACAGTACTTCCGTCGTATTTTTTTTTTATGTGTGGAAAAAATCAATCACAAAAACGAGAAATCGGAGAAAAAAGTTCACATGTCACCCAGCGGATGTGATAGCAATCAATTACATAATATACTTGTCTTGGGTTTATATTAAGATGAAAACCTTAACCTAATTTCATTTATCAAAAGAGGTTGATGACGCCATGGAAATATCTGACTCTATTAATGTTATCATTGATCACCTCTTAGGTATTAGCTTCTAGTAAGTTACTATACAAAGCAGTTTGTTTATCTGTTATTGATTTTATTAAACATTCCAATTAAATACACATTAACATGTGGCGACTTCATATTTCAACATCATTCAAACAAGATAAGCATATCTTTATTATCATGCTTGAAAATACAGTAGATTCACAACGACTGTGTGTATACCCATAGAGAAAATAGAACAGTATACCATACTATGCTAAACGTATATAATATAATAGTGTTGTATGTATAATATAATATTGATTGTGTATAATATAATACAAGATATAGGCTGTGACACAATAGCGAATGTGTATAATATAATACTTACATAATAATATAATAAGCATATATAATATAATAGTAAATATATAATATATATAATAGTAAAGATATATAATATAATATTAAAAGTATATAAAATAGAATAGGCCTATATTTTGAAGGCTTAAGGCAGCTGTGGCTTTCCATAGCACAGTAGGACTGCTACCACTATTAGTGCTATTATCATCGTAATATCCTATGTAGACCCATGTGCTTCACTTCATTCCCCTTTCCATGTATACTTCATGGCTATCTGCTTGAATATTTTCTTAGAAAACTTTATCATAATTTGCTTTGAGCAGCGTGTCTTAAAGCTATACAGCACACCGATAGTCCTAACATATATATTAACTACGTAGCATGCTGACAAGCAAACAGACCCATTACTTTAGATGATATTCCGAAAATACATTCGGAAGCGTGCAACTCAATTACAAAGATGTTCGTTTCATTTATTATAGTGCTTGGTAGACTGCAGCACGTCTTCATGAAAAGAAATATAAACAGAGAAGAAAATATGACAAACACTAAAACCACAACCAAGTAAAGTTGATGTAATAACTAAGTTTGAAGAGATTCTTAATATAAAAAAAATACATTGGAGAATACTATATGGTCGTATACGTAATTATTTCGAATAATTATCGTTTTTATGTTCTAATCGATACATCGGGACATACAAAGCACAATAACTTTATTGTCATTACAAGAAGAAATGGTATGCTTTCCTGAGCTTCTTGTTTCCTATGTTGTCAAATAGTAAAGTTGATTGTGACAAAAGCCCCAACACAGTATGTGTAAAACCAATATTCTGATGAGACGTTAACTCATAATTCCCCATGGGCTATACTTATCATAAAAGGGAACTGTTCAGTTCGGTGACAAACTATTTTTATTCCGAAGTATCGATAAACTATTTCACGTGAGTCTATAAAAACGGATCTGTTTACGTATAGTGAGGAAATTCCCCCCTTTTTTCGACTGGGCTTCAACCAAGGATGTTAGGGTATGAAAGGTTTATACTTCCATGTTCAGAGCCTATGTTATGTTTCTGTATTTTCAAAATGTAAATTTGCTGAAGTGTCATCATTGATTAGCTTTGATACGGTACATGGTAATGGCATACATATGCGCAGATTGGTATGGCTGCGGAGGCGTCATGTACGTCCTGATCGTCGACACGCGCACTGACTGTTATGAATGATGACGTCATATTTAAGCATCTCCATCGACACGCGAGCACTGGGTCATGAAGATTGGTGACGTAATTTTGTAAACTTAAAAATAAAGTATCTTGTTAGATTTTAGGTTCACTGATCTATTAAAAGAATTTTGCAAAACTCGTATCTGAAGAACGTCAAACAAAGCTGTTTACGGCCCTCTCTACTTTTGAAGCTAGCTATAAATCCAGTTTTTATTGCATGTTTACAGGTAAACCTATTACTCGAAGTTTATAACAATTATATCCCGTTGGGTTAAACTATATATGTCTAGTCTATCTAACACCGCTGTAGAAAATGCTTAGTGTATCACAGTGGTTAAAATTGTATTGTTACTCTTTGTATTAATATAGCCGAGACTACATACGATTTCAACTATTTGTTGCAATAAATAATAATTTAATTTGCAATTATTTGATTTTGAATATTTCAATTGGCTATATCGAGTACGCTGGTCGTTACATCGAATTAAGTTATTGTTTAGCCTATTCGTCTAATTAGAACAGTAGTAAATGACCGCGAAAATGCCTTTATAATACTAACTAATCATTCACAGTAAGTAAGCGACGGAAGAGAGTGCGCTTTACCATAAATCTTCGCAGAGCACCGACACAGAATAATTGGATTGATGAAAGTATTAACGATATTGTTTGAAGGAAGAATATAAATTGGATGGGAATTTTATATACGATCGGTCGATGCTTCATTATTTCAAAGATTGGTAATTGAAAAGTGACGATTAGGCCTATATATGTTTAATTACAAAATAGGCCTACTTAATATTTCAGTAAATTAAAATTGTTAAAAACTATACTGCAATTTAGGCAAAAAATTATTTTCTATTGTTTTATTCATGATATTTGAGGACTAGATTGGATATTTTCATTTTGTAGATCTATGTTATTCTAAATCATTCAAGATAAGTTGTGCAATTATATAATCTAACAGCACATTAATTTAAAATGGCATATAAATTAAACCATGAACTTCAAGGAACACCTATATAAAGTTCTTTCTTTATTTATTAACATATATTGACAAAGTATTAAAGAAATCATTGTTAGAAAAACTTACAGACAGGTAAACAGGAAAAGCATCTTTACAACGTACTTGTAGAAATTAAAAGCAAAGATCTTCGGTTATTACAGAATTTTCACGCGTAAATCGCGGAGAACAATCTTGTGAACTAAGATGACGTCGTCAATGAGGGCGCTCTGTCATTTATCGTTCAACAGATTGCGGTCAAAGGATCTGAAATGTGCGGTTCGCGGTAAACACAAATTCTTTGCTGGTGTGGTGTTAAGGCTAGGCTAGGCCTACGTTGTCTACATTTTTGGTAATGTTATGGCCCTTTCAACTCAGGAAAGCGAAGAGGACAGCCAATACATTTTGATTGCCACGATAGACAATGCAAAAAACATATCAAATGTGCTAAAGGCAATATTATCTAAGGATAAGGAGGTGAGGATATCTTTAGATAGGGCTAGGAAGGAGACCCTACCTACAGTACTAGGCCCTAGGCTAGGCCTACTAGCCTAACTAGGCCTGTCCAGGCCTAGGGGCCTTAGGCCAAGGCCTCTCCCTCTAGGCCCATAACCAGTAATTATAGGAGGCCTAAGACTAGGTCTAGGCTAGCTACACTCAGACAGAGGCCCACTGGATGGCATAGGCCCTAGTACTCTGTAGTTGTTTTGTCTGTACTTAATAATTTAAATAATAATAATTCTGGATTTATATACTACATTACTAGGCCCTCCTAGGCCTATATATTATATAGCGCCTCACGTTGACACAACCTCGAGGCGCTTGAACATTATTACCCCTGGATCACTGGATCAAGCACATATGGAACACACACTCAAGCCCCATGTGGAAATACGCCTTTTTCACGAATCGGTAGACATCTTGAAGTGATGACAAACATTGCGAATCAGCGGTGCGTAACCAACAGAAATAAGATAAGCTGAACTAGCTTTGTTTTAGTTACCATATGAGAGTTTCCTGTGTTAAAAACATGATTTACTATACTATACCTCTTTATAAAACATAACTTGTACTTTGTAATAAGAGAAATATGTATATTATCGCTACTTGGAACAGTAACAACTCGAAAGTCCCATGCTACTGCACTGTAATGCATTGGCCTATTTTAATACACTACTAAGATAGGCTTTTCTTTTTCAATCTTGATTTCAGAGGTCAAAAAAATTTTTCAATTTTTTTTTCAATCATATAGTGGTGTAGACTGGTCTTTTAAGAACATTTTCCTGGAAACACTTTTTGGATACGACGCCCCGTTATGGAGTTATGATTTTGATGATGTCAGAACATGATGTCAGAAAATCAGCCCAAAAGCTTATCTTATTTCTGTTGGTTACGCACCGCTGACTCGCAATGTTTGTCATCACTTCAAGATGTCTACCGATTCGTGAAAAAGGCGTATTCCATAATGTTGCAGCTGTATTCAGCGCAGGCTGTGTTTGAACCTACCAGGTACCCACTTGTTTCTACTCCTGGGTGGAGAAGAGACAAAGATTGATAAAGTGCCTTGCCCAAGCAAGGACACAAGCGACTACAAGTTGTAGTTGGAATCTAGCCTAGGTTTAGGCCTAGCTAGGCTACAGTAGTAGGCTTGGCATGCCTACTAATAGGCCTAGAGCCAGTCCTACTGCGGAAAAATAGGCTAAGCTAAGTATCTGACCCACTATCATCAAGCAAGTATCAACCAAGCAAGTATAATTACTTGGCCTTGTCTTGCAACAGTAGGCCTATCTAAAGAAAAAAAAAGGAATAGAAAATATTATGTTATGATCAACAAAAATATAGTAGGTGTAATTTTGCCCTACTTGATGTGGAAATGTACTGAATACTAAATACGTGTGAAAACAATTGCGAAAAAATCAGAAGTTGTTCTTGGGTGGGACTCGAACCCACGATCTCCAGGTCACTAGCCTGGCATCATACCTCTAGACCACTGAGCTTGTGCCCATTGGGCTGCCTTTGAATTCGAGTCCAAGTAAGCAGCGGGTACTACAATGTTGATTCTCCTGATGCAAATCCAGTTATTGTCTATTCCATCACAACAATAACAGTTACTATCAAAAATATGATACTCAACGACAACAATATTCCAAAATAGGCAAAATCCATACAATATTACAACAGCATGCATTAATTATTTAATGTATTAAAATCCAATCATTCAATGGGCTTGGCAATTCTTGCTAACATAAGATTAACAGACGTACAGGAATATGGATTGACAGATAGTTAATTGATAAGCTAAAATTTAATGATGATTTGATCAATTGATTAATTGATTTTATGTGATTTATATATTTAGACACATGGGCCTATGATTGCGAATAGAGAATGTATCACTATCTTGCATACTGTATATTGTAAGCAGTAATCCCTTTCTCTAACAACAGACATTTGCACCATATTGTAATAACACTGCAATAAATAACACTTATTTACTGACATTAGCAAGTTGCTGTGAATGTGTTTAGTAATTGTGGAAAATTGCATCATGTTTGAGTTCATGCTAGGTTTTAACACGTTCGCTGCCAGAGACGCGAGTTCGCGTCCGACAGAGGTCATTCAGGTCATCAAGGCCTGTGTATTGCATGCAAACTCAGTGGCGCAGTGGTTGCCAGAAAACAAAGTCTCGTTTATGCTATGATAAAACAGGTGCAATAAAATTCAATATATTTATATTGTTTACTTTATATACTGTGGTTAAGTATGTTATTAGCTTTTCTTGTTCTACTGTTCTTGCACCTGATTTTAAAAAAAATGAATCTTTAAATACCATTGTCAATTTCGTTTCATAGGTAACTTAGGCATTTATTGGTTAAATCCAGGTAAGTATCTCACTCATAGACGAACAACATCACTGCTGATTAGTTTATTCTTCCTGCATATTTATGTACAAATTTTTTGTCAAACAAAAACCTACTGTACAGCCATAAAAGGGGGGGGTCATTTCATCAGCAGGCCTATGCATTGACTTTAAATGTTAAGGAACTATTTTTATAACCTGAATTCCCAGAAGGTGTGGCTTTCTTCGGGCAGGGAGATGTAATGCATAGAGCCTACATTTCCATTATTACAATTTTGACCAGCATCCCAGTAATTGGTGGTTGTTAAAAATTACTTTACCTCAGTCCCACAATAGCTGAGGCTCAGGTATGATTTTTATTTATTTTTTATTTATTTCTTTATTTTTTTGGGGATGTTTTGTAGATTACTGAAATTTGAAAATAACATTTAGTACATCAATGGCGCTCAATAATTTTGAAAGATATATTTCACCAACAATTTGTGGGGTGGAAATGAAAGATCTGTACATTGTAAATTATTTAGTTTTCATGTTACACTAATAGCTCTGCATGCCCACATCACACCCACACAAAATAAAACTGTTTTTTATGACTTTAAATTGATGGAGATTAGGCCTACTAATAGTCTTATAGTCTAGGACTCTCCTGATTGATATAATGATGGCTAGAAAACCACTGTACATTGCTCTGTTTTTCTTGCATATGACAAGCAGTACCAATCTTAAAATAACTACTTCTTGGTTTTTTTAAAAATTTATTTAATATTGAAAGCATAGTAATATGTGCATATAAGCATCACCAATCTTAAAATAACTACTTCTTGGTTTTTTTTTAAATTTATTTAATATTGAAAGCATAGTAATATGTGACCAGTAAAATATGAGTGTGACAACAGTAAATCCAGGTTTTTACTATTTAAACAGATAAAACAATGTTAAAAATGAATAACTTTATGTTTATTACATAAATAACAGTTTGTACAGTACTAAAAGATTGTTCATTAATGTTTCCACTTATTTCAAAATTATAGTTGCTATGCAGTTAATTCATTGAGGCTATAAAGATCTATAAATACAATTCCTGGAACATAACAGTCATTTTAATGTTGTCAATGTATATTTAGATATCTTGTGTTAATTTCATAAAGCAATTAACGTGCAGTGCAAAAAATATTGTCCCAAAACTATGAATCAGAAGTGAATTTTGAGAATCATGGATAAATACTAATGAGTGCAAGAAAATAATACTGCAAATGGATAAGAATGTTGACATTTGAGTGCTCCCACTTCCGATAGTATTTCAATCATTTACTATCTGATGGCAAAAGTGGAATGAGGAAAAGTGCATGATGTTTTTATAAGGTGCACTGGGATGAATAATTGACCGGTGTAACACAGAATACAGCAATTTTATTGGCCCAAAAAGGAAATAAATGGGTTTTTGGACGAATTAAAAAATATATCTTTATTACATTAAAAAGAACATAAAGTTATGAAAATAGACCTAGCACAGAATTGCAAATGGGTCAAAGAAAATTTTGACTGAAAATAAAAATGAGAAGCACATTTAGTCCTTATGGCATGATGGCTGTATAATACTGAGATATATTTTTTTGTATTTTGTCTGTTAAAGTTATTAATTGCCTCACAGTAAATGTTCCTCTTACCTCAAGCAAATCTGGTAATTCCATACTTTAAAGCAAAAGAGAATATTTTTACGTGTGACAAAAAAAATCAGCTGATAAGCAAATATATGATAATGTTTCTTATTTCAGAAAATGCACATTTCCCAACAGAAATCAATACATTGTAATTAGTGTTTTGTGCAGTGATTGTTCAACTATTGGTCTAGCCTAGTATAAATCATGTATGTTGAATCCATTTTGTTGAGTATTTTTGCCTGTTTTCATTTGTCTAGGTGTTGTTGCTAAGCATATTTGTCTGTGCGCAGGTGTTTGATTAAATGGCATTTGGTGAAAAGGAACATTTGAATGTTAATTGTTAATGTTATTTATGTAATAAAAAAAAAGGACTACCACAGTACAATATATTAAACTATGCTGATTTAAACTATGCTAATGCTGGGGTGATGAGGCCTCTGGCCTACCTAATGGCGCCACTAAAGTTTTTTTTTTTTTTTTATAGTGTAGGCCTACTGCGTTCTTTAACATACTTACAGGCTATATTGCATGACCACTGACTATAAAGTCGCATCCGAAAAATGGTGCGTTAATGAAACTTGCATTTCAGACTTCCAGTTAAAGCACCAATAAGAGCAGCAGATGGAATTGAAATGAGGACCAAGGTGATGTAAATATTCAGTTAACACAATTTGGCTACCACAGCTAAGGAACTAAATGTGGGAGAGGACGGACTTATAAACATCCACTTATTCATATACAGTAACACAGGAATTGAAAAGTATAAATCACTTAATGGAACATTCACCAACTAAAGGGAATTGCTACAGTACTAAATCATGATGAATTTATACTTCATGCAACAACCCAATCTAGTGTATGATAATACGATTATATACTACTGTATTACTTTATTAAAATTTTGTGTATGATATTCTTGTTTTGTACTTCGAATTTTGGTGATATTCTCTTCATTTCAGTTGGCAACCATATTTGCAACTGAGAATGGTCTAAAAGTGACAGTGGAGGATTCCAAGTGTGTACAGGCTAATGCTTTCCTGCAGGCAGCCATCTTCCAAAGCTATGTTATCAGGGAGGATTCTGTTACATTCAAAATTAGTCTATCTGTTTTACAGGTATATTATTATTTATTTATTTGATATTAATCCTTTGCAAATTTGCAATGATCTGCTTCTCAATGTATTTAAGTTGCCTTCATTTCTGCTTAGTATATACTGTACACAACATCCAGGAAAGGACTAATATCTGAGTACAATGCCAGATGTGGTTATGGCATGCTAGAACTCTTTGTAATTTGGATACCCTCTTTGAGAGGAGAGCAGCCACTGCCTCAAATTTGCTAAAGGCCTTTCCCTTTCTAACCATTCCGCTAATCTGATCCCCCTACCCGACAACAATCTCATGGTAGAAGTCAACGCAATGAAAGTAATTATTCACAGCTTAAATGCAAACCAAAAGATTTTCTAATAGTCCATACCATATTACATTCAATTACTCAGTATCTCATAATCCCCTTGCTCCTTTCCCCCACCCCCACCCCAGTTACTGTACTCTCCCTGGTGTTTGAGGCACTGGCTTCTGCAGAACAATGAAGTTGTTCCACTTGCTCATTTTCATTTTTTATTCTGTATTTTAAACATTTGAATTTTTCCCCCTTTTTTGTAGATTTTTTATGTGATCATTTGTACTACGGTAAAAGTTGCTATCAATTTGGCTTTTGGCCACGAACTGTGACTTGTTTTTTAATGTGAATGTGAAATAAATAAAATGAAATATATAATATGTAATTAAATTTTGAAATGGCCGTGACTTATTAAGTCTACTTCATGAATACTTACCTGGATAAACCGACTAATTGCTTATTCTTTCTCACACGAGAAACACCCCTCGAAAAATAATAGAACAGTCGAATCCTGGCGCCAAGCACAAGCGGCCCCGCAACCATGCAACTTCCTTATTTATCCAGGTAAGTATCCACTCATAGACTATCAACATCACCATTGATTTGTGTAATTTCCAGGGGGTTTTTTTTGGTTGACAACAAAATTGAAATTCAATAATAAAATAACATACAATGATAATAAAATCAATCTAGGTTATAAAAAATCGTGCAATTATAATACGTATGGTATATATTAAAGGAATAATAGTATTAATTATTATTAAATAATTATTGTGTAAAGATAACATTTTAAATTTAATTATTAATAAAGATAAGAAATGGATTGGGCTTACTAAATTTCCAGGTTTTTTTTTGGATGACAACAAAATTGAAATTCAATAATAAAAACACATACAACTTTTAATAAAATCAATCTAGGTTATAAAAAAAACTGTACTGTAGTGCACTTATAATATGTATGGTATATTTTAAAAGAATAATATTTGTAATTATTATTAAATAATTGTTATATAAAGATAACATTTTAAATATATTAATTTATATATTTATTAATAAAGATAAGAAATAGGAGTTGCTTACTAAATTTCCAGGGTTTTTTTTTGAATGACAACAAAATTGAAATATAATAATAAAATAACATACAACTTTAAAAAAATCAATCTAGGTTATAAAAATTAGTGCACTTATAATATGTATGGTATATTTTTAAGGAGTAATAGTTGTGATTATTATTAAATAATTCATATATAAATATAACATTTTAAATATATTTATTTATTAATAAAGATAAGATTTTAAATATATGCAACTATTCACTGCAAGTAGTGTTGATGATAGCAATGAAAAGAAAAGGACTAAAAAACCCAACTGAGCCTCCAAATTAAATTTTCTGTGAACTTAAACTAGCTAGCCTGCTTAGACACACTATCAAGCGCAACACAGTTCACATGCAATATAAGGCGTAAAAAAGTAAGCCAGTCAGTAGAATACAGAATATATTTCCTTGCAAACCCATTTTCTTCTCAATTAATTTAAAATAATCATTTCAGAATGCTGACAATCTTATCTCCCAAGTTAATTTAAAGATTCAAATTTACCAAATTATAATGATCAAATTTGTATCAGACTTTAAAGTAGCATTTTATAATGACCTCATTTCATTTGACACAAAATGTTAAAGATATCATTTGTGTCTACTGCATTGATTAACACCACAGCACCTTTAAAAACTGTGAATGCTTCAAACCATTATGTAAACAATCTTGCAACTTGTGTAAAATGATATTTCGAGTGATATAACTTATACATGAATCCATTATTGTAAATAGATCAGGTTTATTTTGTTACCACTGAATGAAAACTAAAGGTAGTTTAAGTTGGATGGCCACATCATTATACACCTGTTAATCTACAGCTCACAAGCATTTGCCAGGTTGGTTTGATGATCTGTGCATCTATTTCCCTCATGTTTCTTTTTTTTTGCCTGCAATACACATAAAATTTACTAGCGAATTTCATCTAACGTTAAACAATCCCCCTCTCTTTGCACAAAAAAAAAAAAAAATCATAACGGGTGATGAAATTTACCAGAAAGAATGCATCAGTTTTAAGGGATTTGACCCTTGACCGGCACAAGACGTCTTTCCCTGAATCTCTCCAGGGCACCAGGGCCTCTAGGCTTTGCTGGACATCTTGGTCACATAGGAACCCCCAGAAGGCGAAAAAGTTAAAAGCATATAATATGAATAGTTGAAAACGTCATCTGGTTTGTAAATACAAAGTAAAGAAATTTTCAGAAGTTTTTGTTTCTAGTTGATGAAGTCAGTATCAACTAGATAAAGCTTGTAAATTGAAATGCTTCAAATAATGTGACCATGGAGGTATAAGATGTGACTGAATATTCTTTTATTAAACCCAGGACTGTACTATTCTATATTAGATTAAAGCTATACCTTGGTGGTTGAGACAGTTAGGGCCTGTTTCTGCTGAGCAAATAAACACGTTTTTAAACGGGCCAAAAAACCAAAACCTACAGTAAAAACACGTGTTTTAACACGCATTCGTTATAGGGTTGTTGTTCAGAAAACATGTGTTTTGTGGTACACTTTATAGCTGCAACGCATTACCGGATAGTCATGACTTGTCAGTGACCTAAATTAACCTCTTCGTTGGTTTGATTAGACATTAGCCAATGTTGCCTTGGCAGGTCGCACACAGGGGTTTTCAGTTCATTTCCGCGGGTCGCAAGAAGAATGCTGGCGGGCCGCTTCCTGCGGGCTGCACTTTGCCCACCTGTGTCATAAGGCAAGCCATTTGAAATACATTAAAACCAAACAACACTTAAAATACTATACAACAATGTTAAAAACTAATACAAATTAATATAAATATTTTGCAGAGACCTAAGTACAGCCAATGGTGACAGAAAATACTAGGGGTGTATTGTAAAATGAATCATTCTATCGATATACAATAATTGGTATTTATTATGGATCAACAGTTTTTAATAATGTGTCCAAAGATTAAAATAAAAAGTAATACCTTATCGTATTACTTTAGTTATAAAAACATTTCTAAAATTTTAAACCTGACCGGAACAGTATTGTAAATTATCTCTATCTTTCTCCGTACACTTCACCACTTTTGCTTCTTTCCAGAAGGTACTGATTTTATGGAGTAGCTTGCTCCAGTAAAAATAAAATCTAAACCTAAAGTCATGGTACAATAAATAATGTACTTTACACATGCCTTTCCGTTCATTAGATCCCTGGTGAATATTTTTGAATTGTTTATGTACAATTGTAGACTAGATGAATTACTTTAAGGGGAAGCTGTTTGAGTGACATATATCCATCATCTGCTTGAATATTTGACCATGATTTAACAATCCAATGTTTGATGCCCCCTCAAGGTCACTTAAAGTCTGTTAAATAATTATTGACCAAAGTAAATTTTGAAATAGAAATTAATTTTTATTGACAATATATTACAATGTTCTTTTGAGTATTTGGGGTGAAGGTTAACCAAGTTCTTAAGATCTACATACATGCATATTATATAAAGATAACTGTTCGTCCATCTGGCACTTGGGTATCTCAAGCCCTAAAAATCAATGTGTTTGACTGATTTGTCAATGTGAAATGTTCCACGACAAATAATCAAGGTTAAAGTATCAACCCAAGAGGGTGGGTCAAACCCGGGGTTAGTCCCACGCAGACTACAGTAGAATACCATATTATTACTCATGTGTTTATTTCATTATATGTTGCAGTTCAGTTGATAGTCATAGCAACATTTAAATATTTGCCTAGCTTTGTGAGGCTGTGTGTAATGTACACCAACAATTATTTTGTTATGTGTAACTTTGATTTGATTTGATTTATTTCAAAACAAAGTACAGAAATTAAATGAGTCATGAGGCAAAAATTATAGAGAATATCAGGATAATCCTTTAAGCATTTTTGCTTGTTTCCGAAGACAAATTTTTAACCTAGGTATCCCTGGGGCATAACCATCTCTGTAGCATCAATATAGTTACAAAATGTATACTTGAGACACAAGGTGTTTTTAAGATGTGGTTGTTGATAATTGTATCTTGTTGATATTATATAGTATGTCTGTCAGTCTTAAGATATGGAATTTCAGACCAAATTATTAAAAAAAAAAAAGCACATTTTGATTGATCAATTTCTTTAATTTACAGGAGTGTTTGACAATATTTGGTGGCGGTTCATCTCAAGGTGGTAACCCAGCTCTTAAGATCTGTTATGCTGGCTACGGAAGTCCACTTCTACTCATGTGAGCAAACTATCTCCAAAGAAATGACCAATAATCAAAATAACAGGGCATTCAGGGTGTTCGAATAGGCTACCATTGTTTAATAATATTTAAAAAATGAATATAATTATACAGAATCAAGATTCAAAGTGATTACTGATGTTTGTCCATATTATAAATTGATATTTTTGCTTATCAAATTCATTATTATTAATTATATTATTTAGTAAAGCAAATAATACTTAAAAATCGATAGCTATTAGGCAATATCAGTTCCTTACGTATGAGCAGCTTATTGCCATTTTTATTCATAATATTGAAACCATACTCTTTATAAGCATAGTTTCAAATTAAAGTATTCCAATCAAGTAAAAAGCATTATGAAAAAAAATTTAATGATTTGTAATAGAGTAAAAAGGAAAAGTGATGTAAACACATTATTTAAACATTTTTTCTGTCTTTTTGCTAATTATTTAAAAACCCTTTTCTATCACAGTTTGAGAAGTGTAAATCAACCTTAGGGTATAAATCCTTTAAAAACGCACTTTACTATGATTTACGTTTTCTTAATTTGAATTTATAGGTTAGAAGAAAATGGTGTTTTGACGGATTGTAGTATTAAGACATTAGAGCCGGATGAGACGTTGGATTTCAATTTTACAAGTGCAAATGTTATCAACAAAATCATAATGAAGGTAAAGATACAGTGAAATAGTATAGTATTGCCATGGCAGTTATTAGACATGTATTTTTGTATCACAAGATGCATTCAGTGAATCCAAAATCACTAAAAGTGAGTGCCTATTCAATACATACAAATGTAGAAAGTTTTTATCTCCAATGAGTGGGGGTCTATCATCGAACTGCAAACAATACATACAGATTACATTCTAATTAATGTTGCCTATTTTATAAATTATTATTTTTTTAACATATTGTTCATAAATCTCTTCACAAAGAGTACATACAGTACTTGAGATAGTGCCTTTCTAGATAAATTATTAGTTTTAATTTTAATTGTCTTAGCCATCCTGTCACTGCAAACATATTTGCAAAATAATTGAATGAAATTTCTAAATATATATAAAATAACGAACATAATCTCACAATAATTTTCTTTGGACGAAGCCTTTGAAACCGTCTCTGGATCCTCGTGGGCGTCCACTATGTTATTTTATGGCTCGCTGCCATCCCGCCGTTGGAATCTCATTCCATTTGTTGGGCAGGTGTAGTTGATCTATAGCGCCATCTACATCGTAACTTTATAAAAAGATTTGGGTTTTGTTCAAAATAAACACATAGATTACACAATAATAATTAAGGGTTGAAATCATTAAAACATTGTGTTGTACGATTTATTGGAACACTGATGATCCAATTTCTTTGTTTGGGTTTTTAAATTGTGTGTTTGTTTTTTTTAATTAGTTTTTAAATTAAATTTTCTTTGGTTTTTGCATTATGCACTATAAAAGTAGAACTTATTATTATTATTATTATTAAGGCCAAACTTTAGATAGTTGATTCCCCCAACCCTGCCAATACTAGACCAACACATGTGATCATTATCTGTTTGTTTCCCTTATTTACATTGTCATAGCTAATTTATGAAGTTACAGTACCCTAGGAAAAGTGCCCCTTCAGTGCCATAATGTAGGATTGCTGTATGTTTTTCCTTATTATTTTATGAAATAAAATGATTTTTTTTAAATCACGAGTAAACTTTGTTTTGTAGTCAGATTGTTTAAAAGAAGCTTTCCAAGAACTCGACATGACTAGTGAAGTATTGGAAATTCTAATGTCCCCTGACAAGCCTCACTTTCGAATGAGCACCTACGGCTTAGCAGGAAGTGCCTTTGTAAGTTGTTACATATTCTGCTTGTCTGTTTAAATGTTATTTATAGGATTTCCAATAATGGGAGGGGCAAGGTGAGGGGATTCTGTGACAAGCCTCAATTTGCGATGAGTAGATTTGGCTTAACAGGAAGTATATTTTATTCTCAATAATACAACAGGTAAAATTGAAATGTGACTTTATTGGATACAAAAATGGAAGGCACACAAAAAGACATTTAGATGATAACACAAAATCAAGATAAAACAGTAAAAAAGACATAACATTTCGATAAAATTGACATCATATTTCTCCAGCCAAGTTACTTTAGTTTCTCCAGCCAACATTTTCACTATTCGCAATTGATGGGAAAGAGGGTATTGGATGATGGCTACTTTCATCTTTATTATTTCTGTTTCTCTAGTCCAATGATTTTTTTTTTTTTTTTTTTGATGCTGACACACTTTGCAATCAGGTTAAAGGTACACAAACAAAACATAATTTAAGATATTTATCTCTGATATTGATTATCTGTCTTGGTTACTGCAAAAATATTTAAATTTATATGAATACCTTCTCCATTTTTTATGGAACAGAAAAAAATAGTTATATAATATTAACTGTACTTTGTGTGTCATGGGGTTTGCTTGCTATACTATTCCATGTTAGGGTGTAATTGCACGCAGCACATTTTGATCATTAAGCGGTTAAAGGTACACAAACAAAACATAATTTAAGATATTTATCTCTGATATTGATTATCTGTCTTGGTTGCTGCAAAAATATTTAAATTTATATGAATACCTTCTCCATTTTTTATGGAACAGAAAAAAATAGTTATATAATATTAACTGTACTTTGTGTGTCATGGGGTTTGCTTGCTATACTATTCCATGTTAGGGTGTAATTGCACGCAGCACATTTTGATCATTAAGCTTCAATTTAACTGTTCTCAGCACCTGTTATTTTAGCAACCACCATGATTCAATATAAACATATAGAGTAATATTTTGAACTCCAAACATTATCCATGTAATTTATGGTATTATTGTTTAGAAAATTGAAAGTTTAAGTAGATCCGCTGAACAAGAAGCGAATGTGATTTAATGATGTGATAACAAGCAGCTGTTGGGAAGGGGTTAAAATGTGCCCCGTTCTAATATAGAACTTTTTGTCATGAATCAGGCTTACTGCTGTCCTTGATGTTTCAAATTTGAAATCCCTCAGCACATCGAACAACTTTTATCACCAAATTCAAGCCTGATTAAGCTATGATGAGTAATTATTAAGTGTGTATTTTACTGATATCACCTAGGAATTACACTTACGACCTTTAATTGATTTATTAAGACAATGACGATAACCTTGATATATTTCAGTTTTTTTTTTTGACATCCATTAGCAAGTGCAGAACGTTCTAATTACAGGATGGTGGAATGATTTTCTATAAATTAATAAGCAATTAGTAGATTGCATATCATATACTAGTGGACATTTTTACATGAAGGTTAGATTATTGCTTGAAAAAAACTTCTTAAGGAGCCTGCCACTGATCGCTACTATAATAGCTGGATTGCTCATTGGCAGGTTTTAGTGAGACCACCGATGCCATTTTGGAGGACCTATGTGATGTATCAGTTTAGACATGTTTCTTTTGGCATTTGTTTAAATTATTGTTAAAAAATAATTTTTACTATACTTTTAAATAATAAATTTTAATTTAATATAAGGATTATTTTTCAAATCATCTAACTACTTGACATGACTGTTTATGCAGTTTTAAAAAGCGCAAGCGACGTTATTTGCGTTGTGTGTGATCAATGGGAAAAGAAAGGTATAGAAAATTAATGTCATGTCTAAGGTTATGATTTTTAAAGAGTAGTATTTTGTGTAGTAGTGTTATTATGTAGTGTGTATATAAACGAAGTGTTAAATCAGTTGGTTGCTGTTGTACCCTCTTTGTATTTATCATTCTAAACGGAATATTGTGTGACGCAAGTTTAAATTTATTAAATGCATCGAGGTGGCTATGGGCATAATTTAACCATATTTCATGTTATGAAACAGGTGAGCAACATTAGTTCTGGTTGCATTACGCAATAACAAAATACTTTGACAAATTAATGTTTGAGAAAAATGTGTTTGCTTTTATTGAATACACATGAATTTAATGTAACTAAATGTGACATGCTGCTCTTGAGATAAAATGCAAGATTTAACCTTTTTAAAAAAAAAAATGTTATCCAGTTATAAATGTTCATATTATTTCTATGCTTTATTGTTCTTTTTCATGAATATTTTAAGAGTAGCAAGTACTCCTATCTGTATTATTTACTAATTATTGTACTGTACAGTACAGTGTAAGATTAAAAATATAAAAAACAAAATATGAAAAAAAAATGGTATCATATAGTGATAAACATTTGGTCATTATTTCACAGCGATTAAGTACTGTATGTGTTTTTTTTTGTAGTTATAATGTGGTTAATGGGACTATGACATAGTGATTTAGTAGCAAGTGGAATGTACTTAATTTCTGTGCAGTGGCTATTGTTACACCAGTCATAAACCAATTCCTACAAAGCTATATTTATGCCTTCCGGTTACGTATTCCTGTGAATAACCTTTTGAACTGAATGAACTTGACAGACTACTGTATGCATAACACACTCAAATGTTTTTCGCTGTTTTACTTGAAAAACAAAATAAATCAACAAACAATACGATTATTATCACAAACATTGAGCAATGTTGCATATTAGGCATACTGCTGTATGTGTTCTAATTGTTAATTTCTCTTATTCCATAGTGATTCTATTGCTCTTATTTATACCACATTACACCAAAGTATATGTCACTGCCCAAGACAAACAAGCAAATTTGTAAGAGAAGATGTACTCTAGTGGATAACCTTAAAATCACACACACAATAATAACTGATTAGGAAAATATCGAAGGTAAAAACGAAAAAGCAAAAACAACGTAATCATTAGAAAACAGATTGTGGAAACAAACAACAAATGAGAAAACCATATGTGAGCAGGTTGATTGTGTATGCATTGTCTATTACGAATTTATATATTTATAACATGTTCAAAAAATGGGTTGCTGTTGTGTAACCAATTGCATAAAAATGACCTAAGGAAATTTGTTTATGACTGATGTAACAATAGTCAGTGCGTAATTTCTAAAGTTTAATAGCAATGATTCATAGTTCATACTATGGTGAAAATAACAAATTACTACTGCACATGTTAAATAGTTGTATATTGGCAATCATTTTTCCAAGTAATACAAACCAGGTCATCATCAGACCAGTAAACAAATTGTTGTGTAGCCCAAACTCTTTGACATTTGCAAATCACAGTCGGTTTGTCTCTAATGCTTTTTTAACTATAGACTAATACTGCAGTTCATTGTTAACTGTCTCTCACCCTATATATTTTGATTGGTAAAGTGTTAACCTTAGGCCTAAAATTTATGGTTAATGTATGAAATTTATTTTATATAAACTTGTAAATCGCCTTTTGAAACATCTAACACAAGCATTAGGCCCCTTCTTGGTTTAGAATTTTTAAAAAAACCGTACCTAGCTTTTCAAGATTTCGTGTCAGTAGCTTGAGTAGCATAAAAATTTTTTTGCCTGTTCATCATCATTACGGTTTTATCTAATACAGCATAATAAGTTTATTTTCATTACTGTAATTGTATGAATATAACAATCTATGACTGTTATTGATTATTGTATGTTTTATGAGCATGAGCAAATGTAATGTATAAATTTATAATTTGCAAGTATTGATTATGAAATCTATTCAAAAGTTGTTGTTTAATGTGAAATGAAATGAGATAAAATAATGAAATACAATTAATTTTTTAAATTACAGTCTGATTTCCCAAGGGAGAGTGATCTGGTTGAATCTTTCCAGTGCACTCAAACTCAGAGTAATAGGTGAGTGTGAGTATTAAGTAGGACTTAAATTTAAAAAGATCTACTCATGTACTGTACTAATACATGTGAAGTCTACAAAAGCAGTTTCCTTGAACAAAAGGTATTAATCTCTTTTATTTGATAAGGTAGACGTGCTACATGACGCAACATTACGACAAAGACATATATACATGAAAAATGTTGTTTTTTCACATCCTGATGTGACATATTCCAACCAACGTATGTTTCCGTATCTGTATGTATGACACAATTTGTAAAACCAGCTTATGTAAGATTTCTTGGGTCTTTTTTCACTTTCTCATAAGCATTAATTACTGTACCTCTATCCAATTACAGTGTTATTCGGGCTTAACTTCTGCTCTTTACAAATGTATTTCCGCTGTAAAAACAGCAATTTTGTGATTAGTGCAAGATCAACATTGACATTCTTTTTTGTCATAAAACCTGCAGGTATAAAAAAGAACAAACTTTTAAGATTGTAAGTGTCAGTTTAAAAGTATTGTAGCCGTATATTCAGCTATTTTGGGATTACACCATGATCTCTTTCGGCACCATGACCTTAGCATTGCCTAACTATAATATATACTAGACAAAATTTTGGCAAACTAGGATTTAGAACTGTGATTCATTACTAAGTTGTCTCTTAAACTGACATTCTCAAAATGTGCTGTCATAATTAATTTCAAGTCGGCATTCATCCTTATAAGCTTGATGAAAATTTTGAAATCCATTTTCTCACCTTTAATTGACTGTGAAAAAAAATCAGCATCATTGATATTTACTGTGTAAAAGTCATTTAGTTAGAAAATGATATTGATTAAAGATTGGACTGAAAATTTAATTGACATTCAGATTGATTACTCAGTGTTCTTGTTTGATCACCTGATTGATCACCTATATATTTTGGTTGGTAAAATGCTAACCTTAATATAATAATAATATATGCAGAAATTTATAAAGCGCCAATTCAAAAAACATTATCAAAGGCGCAGTGGACAATTAACCCAATTAAAGCAATTTTGTAAACAAAAAAGTTTTCAAATTAGTTTTAAATGAGTTTAAATTTGAAGATTGTTGAACAGAAAAAGGTAATAGATTCCAAAGATAAGGTGCCTGAACAGAAAAAGAGCATTTTCTATATGTTTTTAGCTTTTTCCTTTTTGAATGGGCTTGAAGAATTTTATCGGAAGAACGAAGTGTATGAGTTGGAGAGTGTGGCATAAGAAAATGTAGCAAATATGATGGTTGTTTAAAAAAGAGTGATTTAAAAACAAGCAAAAGAATCTTGAATGTTATCCGTTGTTGTTGTTGTTTAATGCTAAGCCAATGAAGAATGGGAGTAATGTGTTGTTTATGTGGAGTAAGCGAACATATCCTGGCAGCTGAATTTTGTACTTTCTATGAACGATGAGTAACAAAATCAGGCAAACCGACAAGCAATGAATTACAATAATCTAACTTAGTGGAAATAAAAGCATGAACTAAAGTTTCAGTGGACTTTAGGCCTAAAATTTATGGTTAATGTATGAAATTTATTTTATATAATCTGTATTTAGTCATGAAATAAGGATTGGCAATAGCAAGTGAATCGCTGTCCTACTCGCAGGTGGCAAACCCTTTCACAAGACAAACATATACGAAAATGCTATACATAAAGTCTCAGTTGTTTTGATCATGATAACAAATCTTGGATTTTTTTTTACTATTTCATGATTTGAACTCAGGACCCTAGGATTGCAACGTGAGCACCAACATAAACTACCATTTCAATTTGTTTTCAAGGTACAAGTTGTCATTACTGAAGCCGTCTGTAAAAGCACTGATGGTGTCTTGTAAAGTGTCTATTCGAACCGACCACCGTGGCTTTCTGTCCCTTCAATACATGATCCGAAATGAAGATGGACAAATCTCATTTGTTGAATACTACGTAAGTATTCAATTATTATTCTAAAAATATTGTGAATTTTAATACCTCTTCTTGTCAACATCTCCTAGTTCTTATTTGTTTTTCTTGATGAATATAAAATGTTACCAAATTTATAGTCTCACCAGTTTCCTTTGACGTACATCATTTGTGAATGTATTCGGCATTGAATATTCTTTTTCCAAATCAATCATATCAACAAGCTACCTATTTATACTTTGGGTGAATAGAGCCTAATGTATGTTCCTTGCCAAAGTTCCTAAGACTTTTTTAATTAGATGTCTCTAGCCTTACCATTGCATCATATCTGTCTACATAAAGTGAATGCAGGCCACTGTAGTGTCGGTGTAAAATATTGCATAGCAGTTTTAAGCTTGTTCTTGTCAAGACCTGTCATTCTCAATAAGCTTTATGTTTAAGAAGGAGCTAACATGATTCTGATTATGTGGACTTAGTATTAAAGTATTAAAGAACTACATAGCCACTCACCATCTATAGAGGCTTACTGATGTATGAACTCAGTTCAAACCATTTGTCATTGTTTGTCTGGTTTAAGATTGGGTTTAAGCTGGGGAATTGCTTGGGGTGACTATCCGATGTTAAACTATGTAACCTAAGCAAAAAAAGTTGTTGGACTGTGTTAATACGACTTATGAAGAAATATTTAATGACTTGATGCTTCAACAAAGTCTTGAAATGGGAAAAACCTATGAAACATTAGCTAAATAAATACTAGGGATTGCAGTGCCACCCTTGGTTAAATTGGGCAGTGTACAGGTAGACATTCCTTGCTCTTTTTAATATTAGTATATGCATTTTTAAAAGTGAATGCATTCTTGAAGTTATGCATTCAGAACGTTGTGTTCTTAGAAGTGAATGTGTTCTTAAGCTCGTTTTACATTATCAACATGAAAAAAGAAAACTGTTGTATGCACATATATAGTCATGATGTGCCTATGTATGTGATATCATCATGACTATATTTAGGCATGTGACGAACAAACTGCTATGCTGCTCTTTATATTGACTTTTTCACTTAATTTTAAACACCAAGTATGTTACAATGTTATGTTTCTGTAGTTGGAATAGACATTTTTATAGAGATTTTTTTCAAGATATTTATACAGTGTATTAAACATAAGAAAAACTGTGTAGTGTACTCTACTTATTTATTGAAATTTCATTCATTGCAGTGTGCTCCTGATGAAGAAAGTGCTGAAAATGACTGAGATCCATACAGACAACTGTGGGAAATGCATTCTGTAGAGGTACGCCAAGCCGACTCACCCCCAGGCTCTTTACAAGCAGATATGAAGCAAGATATCAGAACATCCTGCATGGTATATAACATCTCTCATGCTCTCATTATAGTTCTGTTCAAATGTTAAATTAATAACATATAGATTGATGTGCTTGTACTTTGGGGATTCTTGTAAATCATAGGTGTACTGACTTCTATTTCAACTGGATTGGCTTACATTGTCATGTAATCGATGCCGCAGTAACGTTGAAATATCGTTGATCACATTGTCACTAACCATGTTTCCAAATATTGGGAGCAAAACAATGAATAGGAAAACTCTGCGTAATCTATGTGCATTACATAGAGTCAAAATCGTGCCAATAAACTAGAGGTGCCCTTGGCATTAGCATGACTTATTAATAATCATATGCCACCTGTACCAATTTTATTGCTTTAATTAGTAGGATTTTTTCCTATTCATTATGGGATCACAAACTATCAAACCCACCTACTCACTATTATCTTGCAACTTTTGTTGTGAATGTGTCACTAAAAAATATTTGCTATGTTCACCTCCTACCCCTGTGATGACTAACCCATGTTACTTAGAAAGGCTTATTTTAGTGATTAACAATTACAGTACATATAAATGAAATGAAAAATCTGATTATTTTGGATAGTTTATCAACTATGAATATGTTACCTTTTAAGGGTTATTTTTTGTATATGTATGTTTTCCAACCAGTTGTGGAGGTTTCTATCTCTGTTGGTTGTTGATTGAATAAAATATAAATAATGAAGTAAATACAATTTTTTTCCCATTATAATCCAACATAAAAAACTATACAAAATATAAATATCAAAGTTATTAACATGTTTTTACAATTTAGGATATAATGTTCTGATCTGAACACACAAATGATTAAATTCCAGAATATTAATAAAGATACTGACAATATTAATATTATAATTGATGATAAATACAAACAAGCAAAGCTTGCATACATTTTCCAGAGACCCTACTCTCATTCATCCCCTAAATTTGCCTCTGACATAAATTGTTATTTATTAGGTTAATCTTCATCATCAGGTATGTATTAGTGATTTAATATCTAGGTTATACTATTCAATTTTGATGAAAATAGCAGGTTAGTACATGTGAAGAACACCCTGATTTATAATATGTTCAAGAACGATGTTTCCATGTGACATATTTTTTAAATCTTGTAAATCTATTAATTATTCAAAACTGTACAGTGATTAACTTGTTAGAATCCTTTTGATATTCAGAATTATAAAAAGTGATTTTTTTTTTCACAAGTACTTGTGTCATAATATTCTGCTAAGTGAAATGAATATGAATAATGATAAACCATCAGATTTTTTGGTTTTTGCATTATGTGCTATATAAGTAGAACTTATTATTATTAAGGGCAAACTTCAGATAGTTATTCCCCCAATGCTAGTCCAACACATGTGATCATTACCTGTTTGTTTCCCTTATTTACATTGTCGTAGCTAATTGATGAAGCCACCCTAGGGCACCCAGTCTCAGTCAGATGAAAGCAAATACCAACAAAATGACTTCCTATTTCAGTGTCATCATTAACACTATGTTTATCTAAAATTATAGAAATTGCAGAATTCTGCTGCCTGTCTAATTTTTAACATCCGATCCTCTCATACTCACACATCACATCTTCTCCGTGAACTTCACTGGCTGCCTTTTAAGCAAAGGGTTTATTTCAAATTAATGGTCCTTGCATTCAAGTCACTGTCTGGCTTTGCCTGCAATATTTCTCTGACATTTTACATTTTTACAAATTCGTACCAGGTCGGCTTTAATTTTCATCAGCCTGTATTTAACAAGCATATTGGTAACAAATCTTTTCCGTGTGAGGTGCCACTCATGTGGAATAACCTTCCAGTGCTCTTCAATCTTCACCATTTGTGGCTGTCTTTAGGTCTAACTTAATGACTCACCTTTAATTAAATCAATCATTACCTGTATTCCTTGATACCCTGATCTGGCCCTATATGGGAAGTGGGATAGTTTTCATATGCAATTTTCTCTGATTAGGCCACAGGAAGCTTGTACCAAACAAATTAGTCCATATGATATTACTGATGAAATGAATATCAGGTGTTTAGTCTAGGATATCACTTAATTATTAATATATAAATCAGGCAAGGATTCCACTTGCTAAGTAGGTCATGCTGGTATTTTACTGCTAAGTAGGTCAGGTGGTATAACACCTTCTAACTAGGTCTGACTGGGATTAAACCAGGTTATGATTTAACCTACTAATTAGTGTAGGTCAGAAAAGAATTTGACCTGTAGTTAAATCAGGCTGGTATTTGACCTGCTAACTAGGTCAGGGCATTTCTGTATATTCGTACAAGTTGAGCTATATACTGTATATGTGGCAAAGACAGACCAAACCAGTCACACTCCTTGGAAATCGTGTTTCTGAGATAACTGCCAAAACATGCTGGAAAGTCAACATTTTCTAAATCTATTTTATTGCACAAAACCAAATTTGATGTATCTATACATCATACTATGATGTTATTTTCACAATTTTTGATGTTCAAAACAACATTTTTTACAATTTTGTGATTGTCTCTGCATGAAAAATGGCCAAAATCGTAAACTTTGAAGGCTGATTTTTCAAATACTGTTTTTTAAAAGCTGCATGTTTAAACTCCTGTCGGATGTTGGATTTAAATGATTCTTTACCATTTTATAGCTTTAATTTATTGCTTAACCCTGTACTAATAACTAAAAATCATTGGTTTTTGTGGTGTAATCATTCACACCAACTAAACCAATCCAATCAAATGAATATTTTATTTTTTGATAATCAAAAAATCTCAAAAATTTTTGAGGAGATGAATTTATTCAACTGAATATTATATTATTAACATGTTATACCCTTTGTATCTTTCCATTCTAGTGGACCGATAAGGATGTAGTTTAAAACAATTAATATTTTTAGAAAAAGACTCAACAGTTCCTTATTATTGTTCAGGAAATGTTGAATTGAGTTTTTACATACGATAAATCAGATTAGTATTATCAAAGCATGTGGGCTGCTACTTTAAGCGAACCGTTTTGCTTGGGCATGTTTGATGGTGTCATCGTTTTGCTTGGGCATTTATTGATGATGTCATTGGCATTCTTCATCCCATCTATAATCTCTTTGTATATCCATGATATTAGACTACTGATGAAAATAAATCATCGACAGATAAACTTGTCCACATCAAACGTTTGGCTTATTTTAAAAAGCTCATCTTTAGTACATCACGTTTGTGATATATTAATTTACCTGAATCCTTTTTTTTTTTCACATTCTCATTTTTGAAGAGAAGAATGTACTTAAATAAATGAAGTATTTTGTAGTAAAAACAAGATAATGAATATACAATATTATATTTTAGGTGTAAGCATTGATGTACAAAGACCATTTCTGCAAATAATAAAGTGTGGTCATTTAGTGTCCAAACATTAAGTTATTAATATTTTTCGGTCCCTAAAGAAAAATATTAACTTAAATAAATGAGATATCTTGTACTGTAATAATGAATATATTTTTAGTTGTAATCATTGGTGTAAACATACATCTGCAAATAAGCATAGTGTGGTCAGGAGATGTCCAAACATTAAGTTATTAATATTTTTTAGCACCTAAAGAAAAATATTAACTTAAATAAATGAGATATCGTGTATTACAGTATAGTGAATATGTTTTTATTTGTAATCATTAGTGTAAACATACATCTGCATATAAGCATAGTGTGGTCAGGGGATGTCTGATTAAGTTATTACTGTAATATTTTTCAGCACCTGCAGAAAAATATAAACTTTCAGAAATGAGATATTGTGTACTGAAGAAAATATTATGTTGTGTAAACAACAACACATGTGTAAGATAAAATTCATATCAAGTTGGGATGAAATGTCCCTGAATCAAGTTAATTAGGATGTTAATATTTCTGGGGGAAGGGAGCTGTTTTTGGTTGTAAAAAATTGTGATAGTTGCAGTGGACCTTCCAGAGTGTCAGTAAAAACTGACCAATAAGAATGGCTATTTCAAAGAGTGGGGGGGGGGGATGTCAGGGATATGTACTCGCCTTATGCAAAATGACTTGAATAAACAATTATAAACATGAATTACCAAGAGGAATGCAAAATATTTTAATGGAAACAGTGTGGATCCAGATGTGTTTTTATGTCTTGACTTTATGATAACTGAATTTTGGATATATATGTGAGAATTAAATCATTTCATAAACAAAAACATTACAATACAGTATGCAAATTATGTTATATAAGTTATATTTTTAACCATCTGATGCATTAAATCATTTTGAAAGATGGATTTATAAAATAAACACTTCCTCTAGATGAGGCAATAATGAAAGTTAATGTTCTATCAATGTTTAATGACCTGTCAAGTTTTAAAAACTAATAAGGTGAAAAAAAAAAAGGGAGGCATTTGCCCACCTGTCGGGCAGGTCTGGACATTTCGTCTTCCGACGAACAACTAAGTTGTTGGACCAAAAATTTATAAAAGTAATAATTTGCCTATTCAAATAACGCTATTTTGATTGCCAATCCCTAATATTGTCATCTAAAACCACATTTAGGACCAAATTAAGTCATAAAAATTCTCCCCATGAAAAGGGATTTTTTTTTATTCCAGGCCGTCGAGCGATGCTTCGTCTTTGCCTTGGTTCTGACCCCTTTGTCGGACTTGTTGGCAAATTTCTGGTGCCACCGTTGATTGCTTTATAAACAAGCCTCATGAGGCGTTGAAAGTGAAATTTTTTTGTTTGTGAGAAAAATTCTGGCGTCCAAGAGGAATTAAACCCAAACTCCCTGGTATTGGAAGACAAGTATCTGAACCATCAAGATACAATGATTGACTTTGAACTGACCGATGAAAAAATTATGATAAAAGAGCTAGTCACATTAGTACATGGTGGAGTAGTCAATGACCTGTGGTCAAATATTTTAACGGGTGCCATGTTCTGTAAAATGTTGTTGACTAGGATATGGCACATTTGATTAAGGGTACAAAAGGTTATTATATCACTTTAACCTCTTGTTATTGTCAGAGATCTTTTTTTTTTTATTCTACATTTCTCCGCATTTCTCGTTTATGTTAGCTGTTATTATGTTATGTTTGCTAAGTTTATGTCAGCTTCAACGAACATTTGGCTTGGTCCGGAATAGTCGCAATAAGCTTTTCAATGTGCTTTTTACATTATTGATCATATCATCATAACCAACTGTCATTTCTCAATCATATTAAGTGTGCATAAACTTCAGGTCAAGGTAGAATATCACGAACCAAAATCAGTGGTGTAACGCCTATGCGCTCTCATGCGGCAGTCCGCAGGGCTCCCGAATTCTACGGGGGCCCTACCCAATAGGTTCCTCGATCTAGCACCCTGACCAAAAAGGACTTTGTTGATAAAAAAAAAACCATAAATACTCTGAAATCGACTGTAGTGCATATATCATATTATAATGATTAAAGAGAAGGGGCCCTCTTTAGTCTCTAAAAATTGCACATTTTAGGGAGTTTTGATCAATTCCGATGAAATTGGAATTAAAAACACAAATTGTTTGCGTGCATTTTTCTGGGCTATTATAATAGTCCCAAACCCAAACCCAAGAAAGAAATCCACTGGAAAAAATCCCAATATCTGCAGACGGATCCGTTTCGGCCTTCTAGGCCTCATCAGTGCAGCTAGGGTAAAGATGAAGACCAAACGTTATGACCAGCTTGAGCAAGGCCTAGGCTAGCCCGACGTTCAACTGCAGCATCGCTAATGAACCGTCAATGCCAAACCAAGACAGTATATAGACACGGCCCAGGTGTGGATACAAATATTGGAACAAGAGCTATGCGCCTACTTGATTATGGAATGTTATGGGGCGGAAGACTGTTCCAGTAAACACAGAGTGTATCTTGTCATACTTAACGCGTCCTCTACGAGACTCTACCAGACAGCACTAGTCGGTGGTCTCATATATATATATGTGTGTGTTTGATATGGACCATGAGTCGAATAAAGTTGAAAGATTAACAGGATTTTTTTCTCATGACCAAAGCAACTCCACCCCTAAGCATCATGACAGTATTATGTAGAGCATCTTGTTGTTTGTCTTGTCAAGATATATGCCACTTATTTCGCTGTCTGACATATTTTTGGGCGTAAACCAATTAATAAAAAATCTATACAGGTACTAGGAATTCTATGTGGTTAAAGTGCCACTCTCATATGCAGCATATTGCAACAAATACTGCAGTACAGTATATATCTTTATCAATAAGATTCAGTATGTGAATTTTTATATTTCAAAAGCATTCAATTTAATATCAGAACAGGAAAATGTTTTTGTCTCCAATACAGATGCATAGATCCTTAAATTGGCTTTAAGTCGATTTATAGCTTTCACAGTACAGTGTAAATAAGCTAAAAACTAACTTGTTCTTGAACTGTCAACTTTCAAATGAGCAAATGAATGTTTGAAAACATTTTTAATAGACAAATAAAAAAAACCGAATTCTTTTGTTTTCAAACAGTTTATTTATTAAAAGTACTTTTGACAACTACTAGACTTGGAATAAGTTTGGATGAGTTATTTGAGCTTGATCAACCTAACCCACATCATAGTCAGCATACCCACATGCTTTTATTGACTGAGAGTCAACTGTAGCAATCATTTTTGAACACATTTTTAAAACTTTATTTTGAAAGGCAATGAAAGCTTACCAATAATACTGTATATTCTAATTTTCCCTTTTTCATTGAAATTATTTTGCACTCAAAATACAGGTTAAAAAGGTCAAAAGCACATAAAATTGCAAAGCAAAATCACCAGAATGCATAAAGCTTTGTATTTAATCATCAGAATTATTTCCATTGGGGTCCAAAAGATTAGAGAATTATTATACTAATAATCAAATAATGAGAAATACATCTCGGTGCTTAACAATTAACTACCACTTTCGAGGAACAACATAAATGGGATCGTCTTTGGTTTAAGTTCTAATGAGACATGATTTTGTCAAACATCTTTATAATTCTTGAAATAGGAATGGGTAAATAATGGGTCATGTTATTGCAAATGAATGGTACTGTATATTGGGAGTCTTGTGCTTCAATTATGTAACACCAGAAATAATATTAAATCATTAATCACACATCTAGAACATAAGGTTTGGTAAACTGAAAGACATTAAGTTAAATCCCTTTTATTTCTAACTTATGTACTTTTTACATAATAAGGAATATTTACTCCAAGGTTTTGTGTGTTATCCCAGACTGGTCAATATTAGTGCAACAAATAAGTGTTCCAAAACTATAATACTGCATAAATCATGAAAACATGATGACAAAGAACATGACAAAATAAACATGGAATCATACTAAAAAATTATGTGTAAGCATCAAATGTTTACTCGTCAATTATAAAAAATAATCCTTGTGAAACATTTTTATTAATATTAGAGGCCAACTGAGCCCCAATAAAATAAGATGCTGGTAAACATATATTTATTATTATATATATTAATGTGTCACCATTTTTGTGTATGTTTATTGTTACCTTGCTATCACCACAAAGAAAAAAAAAATGTCCAGTTGTGAAGCACTTTTGCGTAGTATAAAACAACAGTACAGTACTTAAGCCAGCCACTCACTCTGGCATATGACGGTTGTACAACGCATCCACCTCCACTCCGCCAAATCCAGCTCGCCTCCCTGTGAGCACTAGACGATTCCAGACCGAGACTGGCATTCTCCATAGAATCACGCCGTGTGCAGTAAGTGTCTGGCTTAAAACTACTAATTTTTCAGACGTGACTTTGTGGTGAAGGCGACAATATGCATATGCATGGCAAAAATATAATCCTGTAATATTAATATATCAGTAAAATGTATGAATAAGTTGCTAACCAAGTATTATGTAAACACTACTGTACATATGTTTTTTTTCCTGCAGTGCAAGACAATGTAGTATGCCATTGTGTTTTATTCAACTCCAAGGGTTTTGTTTTCCGTCAGTGGTGTCTTTCATACAGATATGAATCTAGAATATAGTCACCTGAATTAAGCATCTAAATAGGAGTGGTGTAGTAGTGCTGAGCATCACCTCAACCCACCCACTCACTGTAGATTAATATACTGTACTCTATAAAACTAAAACAAATATGTGACCAGCTCCAGCAAAAACCTCTGTAGGGAAAATTCTAAATTGAGTTGGTGTTTTTAAATTCTGCACTGAAGTCTTCTTTAAAACAGTGTTTATTTGATGTAAATTGGTTGAGTATTAGCAAAGTTATGAATATTTAATTCAATGGATATCAGCCATGTAGGTTTTAAGAAAACAGCTTCCAAAGACTCCAAAATTAATTGTTTATTATTAAGATTTGTATTTTAAAAATAATTTTAATACACTTCAATATATCTTCCTTTATAAAATGCAAAAACATGAACATTTTAAAAAATTCTGATGCTCAAACGTTTTGGGTGCTTGTGGGAAATTTTAAAATGCGACAAACGGAGGGTTTTGCCAGAGCCGGTCACATATACAACCAAAACTGTATTTTTGCCCCATCTATAAACCCAACCTATCACCATGGCACCATCTATTTGGTGAACATCTATTAGTGCATTGTGACCATCGGACACTATTTATTACTGCATCATGATGCCACTATTATTTCACCACTTACAACCTTGGTATCGTTTCATATTAGTTAAAGCTGCGATATATTTTTTTTCATTTCCTTACAAATGAACTATATTCTTAATATTAAAAAATGAATATTTTACAACACAAATTCAAAATATACAAGACAGCACAATTTGATATTTTTTTCATCTCCAGCATGTTTCTAAGTAATAGCCAATCCTTAAAATTTTTGTTAATAAAAGTACAACAAACACACAGACTACACCAATCAATGTTGATGACTGTAGTCTATGAGAAACTTGAACATACCAACAATTGCCAAGGTTTCCTTAAAAAATAATAGAATTACCATACCGGTGCCCGGTACAAACAACATACATATATAGTGAGCTTTCAACTGCACTCATTACAGTATATCCAGAGTGTAATGACATCATGTATTCCACTGCGCATACACTGACATTAAATTCTATGGTCACATCGTCTCGCAATTTAAAAGCTCCTTTAAATCTTCATCAAAGTGAACCTTGGTAACTGTTGATTTATTAAAATATTTAGGAAATAGACATAGATACTAAACACTCAGAAATCGATTCTCAAAGTCGACACAAACAAAACAACGATGGAATAAAAAGACCAATTGCTATTAATATAGGAAAAAGGAGACTAGTTTCATTTGAAGAATAAGGATCAACAGTTTTTGGCCCAGATGCAACAGTTACTTTTTCCTTTGGTTTTACTTGATCTGTTCTTTCATCTTCGTCATCTTCATCTTCGTCAAATGCATCTATATTTTCCTCTTTTCCTGGAATTGGTGGAAGCTTTGGTACATCTGGAAAAAAAAATTGTCAGTCCTAATTAAAGGCCGAGTTTGTTATTATTGAGGAAGTTGATCACACAAGAAACTTATTTATGGGGAATGTTTTAGTGCCTTGAACATTGTTATAAATGATTATGAGTTATATTATCATGACATACCTTAAACAAAACTAAATCCTCAACACTTGTATACTTTAAATTTTGGTAAGTATACTGATATATGATCATGACATCCAATGTATTCGATGTTCGAAACACGCAGAGCTGCGTGTGTACCATGTTTCAGCCAATCATAATACGCTAAAAGCATAATTTTCAATGGCGCCCTCAATTAACACCTGAAAGTTTTCAGTACAGCAAAGTTACCCATATGTTGAAACATTAGCGATTTCAATTTTCCTTTCGCAGGCCCTACTTTATTGTTACGCTAGTTTAATAATTTACTAAGTCAATCGTGACGTCATCACTGTAAATCCCAATGTTATTTGCCTATTCCCCAGCATCCACTAATTTTTCTATTAGTGGACGCTTGGCTTGATTTTTTTTTTAGGTTCGTGTGCAAAAAAAAATTCTCATTTTTTCGTCACTACTACTACTAAGCTGTAGCCTAGCCTAGTTATGAAATCATCGCACAATTTTACCTGTCTGCATGCACCAACCTAAAAGGACGTCAGTGAATGTATTCTCCCTCGAATGCTGAATGTTTATTTGACGAAAGTCTATCAAAATAGCATTACAAACAAGTTCTTTCTAACACAATAGTTATTCATCGTATCTGTACTGCTGATGTGCAGTTAATTAAACGCGTACTGCAGGAACAAAAATCAGCATACGCACAGCTAAATGTAAATACGCACACGTATACTGATCATATCACTATAGCAACCGATGACTGCTACAACAGTTGGTTATAAAAAACTAAAATTAAAAGACAGCGACTGACTTAGAAAGCAATTAGTAGAGCATGCATCATACACTAAATGGAAAATTATTATACTTAGATTTCATGCATTCAAAAATTTCCTTTGGGCCTTGTAGGCCCTCAGCAAATTTTTTCAAGCATAAAATCTAACCTTTGTATAATAATTTTCCTATAGTGTACTATGTGGAGCTCTACTAATTGCTTATTTATGGTTATAACATGTACTGTATACTAAGTCTAAAGGTGGCGCTCTTCAAATGGCCGTCTTGGCTGCTACACATACACAACTCTGCATTGCTTCGTTGCCTTGTCAGCACTCTAGTTGTTTAATAGCTCTATGGATCATTAAAATAATCAAATATAACAATAATAATTATTAAAATTATTTTATTATTATTAAAAGTGGTACTGTGCTTACCATCTTCTGTTCCCTTCATTACTACAATTGCATTGATTTTTGGATTATCATATTGTCCCTGAAAGGAAAACATAATAGAAATTAAATGAATTCATCTCTGCTCTACCTTAAACAGTGAAATCTAGAGGAAAACACACAATTGAGAAGGCATACTAAAATACGTGGCTAAGATCTTCCTTTGAGCAAGACTTCATGGATCATCTAACCCATTATTTCCAAAAGGCAATGGCATTCAAAAGCTTGCATTGCAAAGAAAACCCCTTCTTTTTAATGCTTTATTTATTATCAACTTGTGAATAATACAATCCCACTGAAATGTTCCATTCCAAGCATTGACTGGAAAAGGTGTGTTATCAGTACAATGGATAATTACTGAAAGAAAAAAATAGACAAACATGGAGCAGTGGATTGATGGTTGAACAATGATGTGCTGCACTTTTCACACAAAGACCACTCCACATTAAAGCCTCGTAACTAGTTTTTTCGAATAGAGAGCAGAATGCTGCAAGGTTCTGTTTTTGTAATTCATGTAAATGTTAGTGATTATCAATGCCATCATTGATATCTTGTTTTATATTCTAGTTCTTCATGGGTTCACTGGTTTTTGTTTAATATAAATGTCCTAACACTATAAATAATGTAATCACTAAAAATCATTTGGTTGTGTTGCAATTTTATTTTCTTTCTGCAATGAAATTTGGCAAAAATGCATGATTTGGTGATGATTTACTTTGAGAAATGGATTTTGATCATTCCTTTTAAAAATGTTTCAAAGCAGCACAACAATAATGATAATAATATTTATTTTGAATGAATATTATGTATATAAATTTTCAACATGATACGCATATAAAGACATTTTACAATAGTTAACTAAAAAAAATCATCAAACAAATAAAAATGTATTGTGTTAAATAATGGCTTTATCCACAGTATTGCTATATTGAATTGTTCAGGTACATCTCCTTCAGTGCTAGATATTTAAACATAGAGTATATTAAAAACTACTAAACAAAACAAAAATGAAAAACCATACATTCTGTGACATACCTTGACAAACTCTATTGATAATGATGCTCCGATCGTTGATGCTTCCCCCTTCACTGTTAATTTACCCTTGCCGATAGTGAACGGGATAATTTCATCATGAGCAGTACCTCGACCCACTTTGTCATAAATATCTAAGTTGGTAACAACATTATGTTGTCCATTCATACGAACATTAAACACCTGTTGAACAAAAAAAACACACTCATGTTAAAAAAATGAGAAATTCCTTAAAAAATGTCCATCATGCTCAAGGTTTACTAATTAATTTTCAAAAAATGAAAAAATAAATTATGCATTTGTAGTACTTCAACTTAATTTAGTTGGTTACTTGCAGATTAAGGTTTAAATTTAAAAATTAATATAAAATGGCACACTAATATTTTTCAAGATGTTATCAGTTTGTATACAAGTAACTGAAGTTCATCTATTATTTATTAATTAGTTTTCTTGTTTGTAGTGCAGGTGCTTATCACAATGTCCTTCATGTAAATGTCACCCACCCTTCTCCATAGTTCTAAACAGACTTCATCACACAAGCCAAAATTTGATCCTCCTAAAATGCAGAACCAAATTAAATTTTCACAAGTACACAAAAACTAATTTATTCTCTGTACGAGTACTACTCTCTCTTAATTTTCTTTTTTTACATTTAGCGCCTTCACCAAATTAACATATTTATTAAATATTTGTAGATGAAGTATACATCTCCCTTTGTGTGTAAACATTGATGTAGAGTAGGTAAGGTACCGTATCCTAATATAAAACTGAAATTAATAATTATCACTTGCATCCTCAAGAATAGGGATTTCCTATAATTAGTATTTTAAAGATTTTCCTTAATATTAATGAGGTAAACTGTAAATAGATGTTTGCTTTTCACATCTGCTTGATACCTTATTGTTAATAAATTGACGGCTTGCTGCATGTCGTTTTGCAATTTTTTTATCATCAAAATGGTAAAGTACATTTACAGATGCACTGCACTCAACTATAAAATTGTATACAACAGGAAAGATGGTGACCCTTCCGATTCGATATGCATCACCGCACAAGCTTAAACTTATTGGAATGTATGATATGAATCAACAGTTGTAATGTTGGAATGTATGAAGACAATCAACAGTTGTGATGTATTACTATATTGCAAGGTCAGATTCATTATGGTCAATTTACATCCAGTCATTAAAAAAAAATACTGTGAATTTGTATCGTCAGCTCAATTTACTATTAAATTTTTAAAAAGGAACAAAAACTTAAATAAAATAAAAAATTTTCAGTTTTGTCAAAATTTATATCTTGGAAGAAATCCATCAACACATTTCTAAAGTAGAAGTTGTAAATAGGAGCAGACTTGATTTCCAAACAGATTTTGCAGAAAATTGGTATGTGTCAATATATTACTTATTACACACACAGGTGTTACAATGTGCACCTTTTCCTAGCAATTAATTATAAATAAGTTTCATTTCATTTTTTTATTTTGGTGTATTCTTTGCAATATGGTTTCAAATTAAAAACAAACAAGTGATAACTGATGTAGCATATGTACCAAAATCCTAACAGTAACCATGGAGACTTGCTCCTCCATCCATATGCAAATAACATCTCATATTAATATGATCATTATAGGCAAGGCTTGGGCCTAGCTGGCTGTTTGAACTGAATAATAATGGAATAAATTGTTAATTATTTATATTACTGCATTCACCTTTTGCAACGACGAAGTAAAATAAACCTCGCAAAATTTTAAGATAAGAACATAACGGCCATCATCTTTTATCGGGATATCATATCCAAATGTTTCATAGTGATATCTCTCCGTCTGGTATAGTATCATATCTTCAGGCCGAACTCTATTGATCTGCATATTCCTGCCGAAGTCAGATATTATGCCCGTGGTGAGTGTATCTTCGTTGTATCGAATACCATTCTCATCCGTGTGAGCCTCTCCTCCTGAATTCACTGCAAAGATAACCTTCCCTATAGCTGAAACTTGAATTAATAGTATACCTTGAAGTGCAATGCAAAATATTATCTCCAGATTATGTGGCATCTTGCAAGTATAATTGCAGAGACACTCTCAACAATTAACAAGAACAACACAACAGATTGTTTACGAGGATTTCGCCGGTCGGTCGAATCAGATTAAGCCACACAACACATGGAAAGGTTAAATGTCAAATAAACAATTAAAAATGCATAATTAAATATGTTAGAATATTTAACAAATTTATTTTTACAATATATGAATCAATTTTAAATAAAAAATACATTCTTTTCATTATTATTAGTGCTACAAGAAAGTATTTTGGGGTAAATTCGTTCATTGTTTTCATCTAAATTTAACTAATTATTGTCAGCAATCCCATAAGGCATTAACTTTACAAAATGTCAGCCTCCATGAATTGGATCGCTGGCGATTTAATATTATTGTTTGTTTTACTTGGAAGTTGTAGATATGTTGATGCGAAAGGTAAATTCGTAGTATGTAATTTATATATAGTCTTTGCAATTTAACCGTTTCTTTAGGTAGGACTCGAGAGTCTGGGGCCGAGGCTTACTACGACTAGGCCTAGGCCTACTACCCGCAGCTAGCCTAGGCCTAGGCCTACTACCCGCAGCTAGTCTTAGTCTAGACCTATGCCTGGCTGGTAGCCCTTGGCGTAGGCCTAAGACTAGCCTTGGCCTAGGATACAACTGGTACTCCCAGTAGGGCCTAAGCAATGCTTAGCTAGGTCTATCCTGAAGTGCTAGCAGCTAGCCTATCTAGACACAAATGACAAAGGCCTAGGCTAGGCGGCGCTAATGCATAAGTTCACCTCATCCTCAAAATCAAACTTCCAAGTTGTAATTCTCTTAAATATTCATGGCTTATGCAAAACATGCCTTTACTTACACGATTTACACTATTATATGACAATTCCAGCTGGTATTATTAAGAAAAATTCGGTTTTACCGCAGCTCTCTCGAGTGGCTCCCATCCGATCGCTTATCGGCCATCTTGTAAATGAAATGGTTGCCAGAATCACATATATATGATTTCTAGTAACTTAGAGAATCAATTGTTTAACACTGTGCGCTACTATACCCATTTTGGTTCTAGTTGCGCACAGTGATAATGCATAGGATACAATGAAAGTCAGTGACAGGAAGTTTATCACTGTGCGCTACAATAACCATTTTGGTTCTAGTTGCGCACAGTGATAATGAATAGGATAAAATTCAATTCAGTTGATGGGCAGTGTATCAAATGCATGAGTTTACCTCATGCTCAAAATCAAACTTCCAAGTTGTAGAGTCCTTAAATACTAATGTATTATGCAAAACATGCCTTTAGCTACACGATTTACACTATTATATGACAATTCCAGCTTGTATTAATTTAAAAAGTCCGGTTTTACCGCAGCTCTCTTGAGTCGCTCCCATCCAATCGCTTCTCAGCAGTTTATCGTTGTGCGCTACTACACCCATTTTGGTTGTAGTTGCGCACAGTGATAATGAATAGGATACAATTAAGTCAGTGACGGGCAGTTTATCTCTGTGCGCAACTATACACATTTTGGATCTAGTTGCGCACAGTGACAGAGCTGCAGTAAAACCGAATTTTTCTTAATAATACAAGCTGGATGTGTCATATAGTAGTGTAAATCGTGTAGGTTAAGGCATGTTTTGCATAATACATGAATATTTCAGAAAATTACCACTTGGAAGTTTGATTTTGAGGATGAGGTGAACTTATGCATTAGCACCGGCTAGGCTTAGGTCAAATTATGGATACTAGGGCCTACTACCACTGACCATACTAATTATAAAGTAAGATCTGCGCAGGGAGGGACATCCTTCATGCAAAAATTAGGCATAGAAATCCGTCCGTGCATTTTGGAAAATAACAGCCAGTTTCTCTGCAGATTTTGCCAAATATTATATAATTATTGTTATAGTAAGCTGATTGTGATGTTAAAATGTGGAATGTATAAAAAGTAATACAGTAGTCAAGAAGGCATTTTCTATAGTATTATGAAGTTTAGTCAGTCGCACATTCATAAATAAAATTCATCAAATTGCTATCAAATACAATAAATTTTATTCAATTATATCATGGTAATACATTTATATTTATTTTTAACAACAAATAATAAAACAATTTTTTTATCATCAGTGTTTCCACATTTATGGCGTTGACATTCTAATTCGACAGTAGAAGTATAGAAGAAAGTTTAGGTGGGAATTTGTTAGTAGGCAATTTTTTTGAGGGGGCGAGTTTGATAGGGGTGAGTTTGATGAGGGCAACTTTGTTATGGGGCAAATTTGAATATATTTCTTAAGAAGAATGAAACAGTTCAGTGTAAACACAAATAAGACTAATAATGTCAGATACACACCACCCTCTTAATTGCTGTGTTACACTTTTGTTACAATTCTCCATCCCAGGTTAAAAACAAAACATCTTAGAAACTCGTTCTTCCCTTCCGCTATGCGACAGTACAATGACAAATGGACCAGTTAAGCTGCAGCTCCCATGAAACAACGCTTTTAATTTCCCAATTTCAACCAATTGGGCTTTTTGTAAAATTTTACCATTATACTTTATAGAACCCTTTTCACAATTTTAACATTTTAACTCTAATTTTATATAGCTTAGGTGTGTTCCACAATACATTTGAACATTTTAGGCGAAATTTACATAATTCTACTGTATGTGATAGGTTTTATTGTGTTGGCCTTTTAATCATTGTATTGTTTGATTGTATGGTTGTTTCCTTTGTTTTTCGTCACAAGTAAATAAATTTTCAAATTTGTAATTTTAATATGAGTTTGACAATAAAAAGGAATATACAATATACAATCAATTAATATGGGGTGTCTGTGTAAGGGGTGACTTTCTACTGTTGGCAGCCGACTTTGGGGTGACTTTGTAATGGATGACTTTGCTAGGGGTGAATTGACTGGAAACCTCAGAAAATAAACAATGTTACTTACTTTATTGTGCTCTGCCTCTTGCTGGCAGGTCCTCAGGCAACCAGTTTCTCCAGAGATTTCAGTTTTGTGCTTTTCTCTTTAATGTTTCATAGTTGTTGCCTTCTTTCAAGTCATCCAAGAAAGCAATACGCTTTCTCCCTTATCTTCGCATCTTTCCTATGCAATGTCCTTCAATTACTATTTTCAGTAGGTGATTATGTTGATGCAGTACATCATGTCCCATCAATGTTTTCTCTGTCCTTTTTATCTCATCTGATCTCACCATTAAAATTTTTTAATGCTCTCACTGCACCTTGTACAGCAGAAGTTTAAACGTCTTTGCCCAGCTAACGATTTGACGTTCGTAAACAGTTTGGTGTACAAAACGCTTTTTGTGGAACTATAAATATGTATTTATAACATAATTTGCAACTAAAACAATGCTACAACAATGTGTTAATGTAATTTTCTGACATAATATAACCACACCATTTGCGGATGTTTAATTGTAAACAGCACATGAGATTTTTGGAGTAAAACATCACATTTCCAGACATGTTTTATTCTGTTCACTTTTGAATGTTCCACTGACTTCAATACAATAACTTTTCTTAGGCAAATCAAGGTCAGGGCAGAGTGGCCATGATCTATCAGAGTCTTATTGATTTTTGGAGGCATGAGGTACTGCATGGAATGTCAGCTTTTTAAGGTCATAGGTAGAAGGTGACTGATGCCTTGCCCTCGCTACACTTGAGTTGTCTCTGGTACATACATAGGTACTAAACTTAGACAGTGTTGTATCACGATAGAGTTGGTGTGCAAGGTTTTGTCTTGTTTTTAAAATTGGTCATTATATATATTTGTCAAATGTGGGATTAGGTGGGACAGTGGACAAACTTCAAGAAAGCGGTACAAGCCCACCAGAAGTGGGTCAGTTCAAAGCTATGCAGATAGGCATACAGTAGAAAAAGAAGAATCACCAATCATCAGTTAGTACTGTAAAAAAGATAATGCATGTGTTATTCTGTCACATATTTTGTCGATACTCTCTGGTATAGACTTGGTATTGGCAAGGAAATGTAATTCTTGACCTTTACATGCGTTGAGGACGGCTTCAACCACAGTGTCTTTGATCATGGTAGACAGTTCAGTCGATTGAATGATTTTGGCTTTGGCTACTTGTCATTTGGTCAGTCAGACTGCCTGGCATGTTTGGATTGTCAGTGGTCGAAGGCTTAGATGCCGATAAGCGTGTTGACAAGTCCATAATGCAGCTCCAAAAACAAGTTTGATTGTACTCGCTTAATTATTAAGGAACAGTAATGAGAATGGAATGCAACAAGAAAAAAAATCTGGTTGAATTTTGGTCAAAGCAGGGAGTTGTCTAAATAACAACTCCCTGGTCAAAGTATGATTTATGAAAAATGCTTTAAATGCAATATGTCTAACTCATTGCATGGAGGAGGTGAGAGCGATCAATCAAATGATCTTACCCCAACAGTGGTCTGTGCACTACTCCCTGTGTATCGCACTAGTGAAAGAAAGCAATGCTGCCTTTATGTCGTCGTTGGATCCCCCAATTTTAGGTACCAAACTGGTCACTGCTCCATCTGTATATAATTTAGGTATAAAGAAGTAAATAACAAAAGAACTAACACCTGTTGATTTGCACGTGATGGATGTACACTGATGCATATACATACCAGTGGGATTCTCTCTATATATTCATCCAGCTCCAGATATGTCAAAAACTAAGAAATTGCAAATACATTGCTAGGAAGATAGGTGTGCAAAAACATAAACGTCTGTGGTACATTGGTGGTACACAAAGTTATTCTAATTTGAAATAAATGCCTAACTTTATATTATAATTAATAATATTATTTAAATTGCAGAAATAAGCAACATCTTGTTTGGAAAAATATGGGATGTATTGCCTTGTAGTTATGCACTTGCATTTGTTATTGGCCTTGTGGGAGTGCTATGGGTGGTCAGTTGGAGGAATGCAGATAAGAAGGTACTTATCTCTACAATTATTGTCATCATAAGCATCACAATATTCATCAATATCTAAATATTTTTCATTTCTTCTTTATGTAAACTGTATCATCAACATATGCAGCATCTTAATTGTAATTTTCTTGATGTTCATTTCAGTATAGACATGAAGATGAATCAGTTACCATGGAAACAGAAAATAAATTGATGCAAGATGGTTGTGTGAAGATATTTTATGGCACCCAAACAGGAATAGCAAAGGTGAGACTAACGATAGAAGATTATATATTTGGCTGTGTATTATAAGACTACACTAAAAAAATACGAAAATCTAGATATACAATAAATTTTAGGGTTATTTTTCCATTTCAGAAATTTTCACAGTTATTATCTGATGCTGTACAGGAACAAGATATCCACCCAGATGTCATTGACCTGAAGGATTTTGACCCTGAAAAACACATCTTAAATGAAGCAGAAGTATGTAGATTTTTTCATTGTCCCTCTGTGATTTTTATCCCCTTTATAGGCTGTTGTACGAGATTGACAAAAAAAATTCTAAATTAGATTAATCAGATACTAAATATTACCTAATAATTCATATTAATGTCATAAATGTAAATTATTTTCAGGTGTCCCTCTAACTAAAGACCCCTCCCAAAAAAGACCACCTCTCTGTAGTCCCATATTAACAAATGTTTTCTATTTTTATTATTATAATTAGAAACCAAAGCTGCTAAAAACCGTGGAATCCCTGGTCCAAAAGTGGTCTATAATTGGATGGAAACCTGTATTGTATTACTACACTGAACTTTTCATTTTATACAATTTTCTACTTAGATATCTAGTCCATCATATTAATTATATTCTCAATGACAATTATTATTACTAAAATGATAATGTCTTCATTATCAATTATTCATTTGGCTAAGCTTTTGTTTGATTAATAACATGTTTCACCATGTTTCTTTCTTCACCTGAAAAATTACTTTTATAAGCCTATATGCTATTATCAGAAGTGGTGTCTATTTATAGAATCATTGTATTACAACAATCATTTCACTCTAAATGTTGTACTTGGTTGAAAAGGGATTAATATTTCAGTTATGTCTTGAGATCTTGAGGCTCTTATAACATTAATAGAACTTCTCTATGTAATGCACTGTCTATTTATGAAGTTAGATTTGATTATAATAATTTATTACCTCTGTAAAATGAAATTAATAATATTTAATTTAATTATATTAAATATTTATTATAGAATATGTATTTTCTGTAAAATAATTAATATTCTTTAATTATTTATCAATAATGAATAATTATCTTATTTCATATTGAACTTAATATTTGAATATGATAGTTCACTTTTTTTTTTTAAATGAAAAAAAAAGAAATTGATAGTCACAACTCGTAAATTTCAAAATAAGAAAAAAACCACAAACATGTATTTGGCACTGAGTCTTCTCTTTGTGATCAGGCAGACTGAGAGACTTGTTGTATTCATGATGTGTGTGGGCTTTGTCTCAATTTGACCACATTGTATTCAATTTTTTAAAAATTAATTGATGTACTGTACAACTTTTTACATATGATGATCATCTGTTTTTTTAATAGAAGACTGACTGTCAGATTTCTATTAAACTTGGACATATGTGATTTTTAGTTTTATATTGGAGTATAGCAAAGTGCCATACAAATAAATTTGTAATTACTGTATGATCATTTTAATTTGATAATAGAATGACAAGAATATTCATATATTTGTGGTATCCACTTACGTTGATGGAAACCCACCTGATGATGCAGTTTGGTTTTACAAGTGGTTAGAAGAGTCAACTAATGATTTTCGTGTTCAAAAATCATTATTAAAAGGAGTTAAATATGCTGTCTTTGGACTTGGTAACTCTGAATATAAACTTCATTACAACACTGTAAGTAAAATACAGTATGTGTACATTTGTCAAGGTAGAAATTAGGATTAAATTAGATTGTTTTTTCAGTATGAAATACACCAAGGATAAAGCCATAATTATCCAAGGTCTTATTTCAGTGGGATTATTCTGGTGGTGAAATGTATCAGGACATAATTTCCCCCTCCCCTTTTGAGTGTACTATGTGTTGTTAAACATGCACAGGGGTCATATTGCACATAGGATCAATGGCTAAAAAATCTCATCCAAAACCATTACACCGTTGAATCTTGCATTTCGTTCAGCCCTCCAGTTGAAGTAAAAGAGAGCGAGGGATTGAATTGAATAGGAAATCAAGACAACTGTATGTGACAATCTCCAGATCAGCGTATACACAGTGTGTACTGGCAGTCAGTTTAGTTGTTGGCGAGAGAGAGGTGGGATTATACGTGTACAGTATATCTTTACGCTGATACAGTGAACTCCAAGTCTTATATAAAATACAGGATTTCCTTTAGTGGATTGTAACACTCCCTGTACTGTTATGGAGGTCAATCCATACATCGTATATTTAAAATAATTGTTTTTATGTCAGAATTAATTATTGTTATGCAAGTTCTTATGGTAATTCATTGCAAATGATTTCCAAATCACATATGAAATAATCATTTTTTTTATTATAATTATTGTTTTAATAACTTGTATTTATTTAAAAATTCTTAATTTAGCAATTATGAATCCTTCATTAATATTATATGTATTGAAATTTTTTAATTATTAGGGACTTTAAAGTTGTGTTTTAAGTTTTAGTAATATTATTATAATTTATATTATATAGTTATTATTACTATGTGTTATTATTATAAACTTGATTAATATATATTTCATATAAAATGATTAGTTAATTTCAGTTTTAATATATATTTGATCCTTAGGTTAGCACAGATATTGATAGAATGCTGAGTGAACTTAGTGCTGTGAGACTCATGAAAAGAGGTAAAGGCAACGAAAATGAAACAGAAAGCAAACATGGAGGTAAGCATAGAAACATGTTTTCTACGTCATTATGATAATGATGTATTCACTGTGTTTGCTCTACCATGAATAACATATTGCTCTTTTCATATGTAATGTAATATAGTATTAATGCATTTATCAACCTTGTTTTAATCTAAATAATTTAATAATTTTATTTGTCGTATTATAAATCATTATCATACTGGATATAAAATGACTTGAGTATGATAATCATAATGATAATTAAATATTTCATAATAATTGTCAATATTTAAGTAAGTGCATTAATACATGTAGAATTTAATAGTGCATGCTAATTATTTTTTAGAAATAATAATATATAGTTTTAAAAACCCACTATGTTTATATAATTAATTT